CCTCACATGAGGTAGGCGAGGACACCGACCCCCCAGACGTCGGCCGCCGAGCCCACCGGGTCGCCCTTCACCATCTCCGGGGCTGTGGGAGAGACGAGGCAGGTCAAACCCCAGGGGAGCCGGGGGGAGGGGAGGGCAGGACATGCTGTGGCCCCAGGGGAGGGGAAGGGGGCCCCGCCTGCAGCAGACCCAGCTCTCGCTTGCCCCGGAGATCTGTCAGTTTGGGCCCGGGGCAGCGGTTCCTACATGGAGGATACGGCCCTGCCCCGCAGAGCCAGGCCAGCCCCCGCCACACGGCTCTGGCACCGACCCGAGACGGGTAGCCAAGTCCCTCTGGCTCTATGTCACAGGACAATTCACATCCTCAACGAGCGGCACGGGGTCGGAGGAGGGGCAGGTTGAAGTGCTCTGGGTCAGGATACAAGGGGGCCGGGGGGAAAGGGACTTAATGGTGGGGGTCTACTACAGACCTCCCAACCAGAGGGAAGAGCTGGACCACGAATTCTCAGGTCAGCTTGCGGAGGCAGTTAAGTCCAAGGACGTGGTCATCATGGGCGCCCTAAACTTTCCAGACATCTGCTGGGAGGAGCAGTCAGCCAGGTCCGACCGCTCACGCAGGTTCCTCGCCGAGTTACAGGACCTCCGCCTAACCCAGGGGGTGCACAGCCCCACCAGGGGAGACGCCGTGTTGGATCTGGTCCTGGCCACGGGCCACCACCTCGTGGGGGGTCTGCAGGTGCTCGACCACCTGGGCGACAGCGATCATCGCCGTCGCCTGCTGGGATTCACCATCCAGCGCAAGGTGGCAAAAGCCTGCAGCAAGGCAGCAGCCCTGGACTTCAGGAGGGCGGACTTCAATGAGGTGAGGAGACTAGTCGGGGAGGCACTGAGGTCCCGGAGGGGAGGGGAGGGGAGGGGAGTCGGGTGGTCGGGTGTCCAAGAAGAGTGTTTGTTCCTGAAGGAGACGATCCTCCAAGCCCAACGGGTGGCAATCCCAATGCGGATCAAAGCGGTCAAGAGTGCTCAAAAGCCGCCATGGCTCACCGAAAGCATCCGGGAACGTCTCCTAGCTAAGAGGGAGGCGTACGCCCGATGGCAGGGAGGGGCCGTCCCCAGGGAGGACTACACCGCGGGTGCTCGGGGCTGCAGGGGGCTGTGGGGCAGGAAGGCCAAGGAGGAGATGGGGCTGGGACTAGTGACCCGGATCAAGGACAAGAAGTCCTTTTTTAAATACACAGGGGGTAAAAAAGTGCTGGGTAACGTGGGGCCACTGCAGGACACGCTAGGAAATCTGGTGGTCTCACCTGACGACAAAGCTAACCTCTTTAACAATTTCTTTGCCTCCGTTTTCCTGAGCAGGGATCAGGGCATCCCCCCACCGGGATCTCCGATGGTCCCAGGGGTGGCGCAGCCAGGCCCAGGGTCAGTGAGGACCTAGTCAGGGAACGTCTGGAGGGACTGGACGTGTTCAAATCATCAAGTCCTGACAACCTCCACCCCAGGGTGCTGAGGGAATTAGCAGAGGTCACAGCGGGACCCCTGGCACAGCTTTACGAGCACTCGTGGTGCTCTGGCGAGGTGCCGCAGGACTGGAAAAGGGCCAGTGTGGTCCCCATTTTCAAAAAAGGGAGGAAGGAGGACCCAGGAAACTATAGGCCTGTTAGTCTTAGCTTGGTCCTGGGGAAGCTCTTTGAGAAAATTATCCAGGTGCATGTCCACGAGGGGCAGCAGGGGAGGTTATGCTCAGGGGCAACCAGCACGGGTTTGTTCGAGGCAGGTCCTGTCAGACCAACCTGGTGCCTTCTACGACCAGGTCACCAATCCTTGGATGCAGGTGTTGCGGTGGACGTAGTCTTTCTGGACTTCAGGAAGGCCTTGGACACCGTCTCCCACTCCATTCTCATTAAAAAACTAGGGGACCGTGGCATTGATGTCTACACAGTCAGATGGGTCGCTAACTGGCAGGAGGGCCGCACCCAGAGACTGGTGGTGGACGGATCTTATTCGACCGGGAGGGCTGTGGGCAGTGGGGTCCCCCAGGGTTCGGTCCTTGGGCCCACACTGTTCAACATCTTCATCAGTGATTTGGACGAGGGGGTGAAAAGCATGCTGTTCAAATTCAGAGACGACACTAAGATGTGGGGGATGTGGGCATGCTAGAAGGCAGGACTAGGCTGCAATCGGACCGGGACAGGCTACAGGGGCGGGCAGATGAGAACAGGATGGGTTTCAACACTGACAAGTGCAAGGTGCTGCACCTGGGGAGGAAGAACCAGCAGCAGACCTACAGGCTGGGGAACTCCCTTCTCGTCAGCGCAGAGGCAGAAAAGGATCTTGGAGTCATTAT